ATATTACGAAGAGCCCTATATGGATATCTCCCATTGTGGATGCTCTTAGCTCTCTCTCAAAGAGAGTCTCTTCCTATAGTTTAAAGTAAGGGGCTTAACTCTCATACTTTTTTTTATTGTCAACCATACATTAATTAAAATATTGTTCCATGATTGGTAACTCTTATACTTTAAACTATTGATATACAAATTTTAAACTGACTTTTGTATAAATATGATGGGATGATTAATAGATTAGATTGATATACAAATATTAAACTGGCTTTTGTATACACAAAACTTTGTGTGTTGTTTTCAAAATACAACTTTGAATTAACCTAAAATTAAAATATCTCAATGGTAATCTCCTTTTTGTTTTTGGGCAAACTGAAATAATCTCAATGGTAATCTCCTTATATTACAAAACTTCAAAAAATGGTATTTAATTACAATACAATGCCATTATAAATTCTATCAAATTTACAACTTTTAATTTTTATCACAACGGGTTAAAGTATTATTATTATTGCATTAAACAAAGGTTAAAAAACTTAAAAGTTCTCCATCTATTTTTTATTTGGAAGAACTATACTTTGTTTATTAAGTTTTTGTCATATTAATTCATCGTTTTTCTCGGTTGGTTGAATCATCTTCATGGGTTAGCAACCGTGGACTCCAACGTCAAAACCACTAACCAAGGTTAAATTTTAGAACCACGTGGTTAGTTAGATCTAATGAATTACTTTGTTGTATTTCTTTTATCCTCATATCGATTCGAGAGTAGAAAGAAGAACCCTAAAATTTATCCCCAAATAGATTTTTCTTGATCTTCTTCACTCGATCTCTTTGAAATTAGATGAATCGATGATAATGGGCGTTTGAGTACTTCTAAAGCTGTGTTTGACTTAGCTTATTTTCGGAGAGATGAGATATATTTGCGATTTGCGATTTCAATTTATGGGTTAGAGATGTTCTTCAATTTATGTCGAAATACGATCATCTCTTGAGGTATCGACATGCCTAATCACTTAATTACACATGTGCAGTGCTTTCCAAGATCTGAAACTGAATATACACTTTAGAGGAGATGTCGAGTTCAAGGATGGATCGTTTCGCCTACATTGGTGGTATCGAGGTGAAGGATATGCTGATTGATCATGATCTGATGACAGGGTCAATCTTCGAGGAGTTTTGCACAAAGAATGAAGTATTTGGTATAAGCTTCCTCATGAATACATACCTTCAGCTAGGCTTATCGAAGAAGACAAAGATAGTGAGATTAAATTAAACAGTTGTGTAGTGAAGCAATGGTTTGTGGTGAAGTGGATATATACATCCGACAAGGTACCTTTGAACATGTAGCATTTCCTTTATCTCAGTCGGGTGAGCAGTTTGTTGGGGAAGATGATGCATGCCAAGAAGCTGGTGAGGCTGCTGAAGAAGAGAGACAAGTTCATGGAGATGATCTGGTAGAGGAAGTTGTTCAAGATGATCCATGTTTTAGTGCTTTTATGAAGAAATTAACAGAGAATAGTGCTTTTTATGAAGAAATTAACAGAGAATCTGGAGGTATGACTGAGGATACTAATTAAGCTAAGGATGAAGCTGCGCGTCATGCTGAATTAGAAGCATTGCGTTAAGCAATAGAAAAGGCAACCCGTGAAGATGATGAAGATGAAGAATTAGAGAGGCAATGTATGGATGCTAAGCGTCCAGAGCCGGTGATAGACACCTAAGAAGAATGGGATTCTTTTAAGCGCCATGAAAGAGAGATATCAAGAGCTAATTACGCCAAGGATAAACCACCTTACTTGTGGCTGAAGCAGATGTTCTATAATGGAGAATATTTCAAGCATCAATTGTTGAGGTATGTCTTAAAGATGAATTATGATGTGAAGTTGTGTAGCTATATGTAGTCATGAGAAGTGCCCTTGGAAGATACTTTGTTCAATGGAGAAGCACTTAGGGAAATGGGTAGTGAAGACATATATATGTTGATGCTTAAAATCACACTGTCAGTGGGAAAGCAAGGATGCTAAAACAAGGTGTGATAGGAAGGTTTTTCAGAGATGAAGCAAGAAGAAGGTCGTTCTTGAGATGGAGTGACATTAAAGATGAGATTATAATGAGTTACACGATTTTTATGTCTAAGTGAATATGTCAAAAAGCAAGAAGAATAGCAATTGATTTGGTGATAAAAACACAGAGACAACAGTTTGCAAAGCTATAGGTTTATGAGTATGAGCTTCAAAGGTCTAATAAGGAGACTCACACTGAGATTGTCACCATTCCTCAAGATAATGGTAAGCAGCAATTTGACAAGTTTTATGTCTATTTTGAGAAGTTAAGAAGAAGTTGGAAAAGTTGTTGTCGACCAATCATTGAACTACATGGTGCCTTTTTGAAATGGGAGTTGAAGGGTGAGATTCTGGCAACTGTTGGCAGGGATGCAAACAATAGAAATTATCCTATTACTTGGACACTAGTTAAAATGGTGGACAATGAATCATGGGCTTGGTTTGTGCAGAAGTTGAAAACTGACTTGGATTTGGAGATAGGAGAATGTCTTAATGTTATGTCTGATAAGCAAAAGGGATTAATCAATGATGTTGGAGATTTACTTTCTAAAGCAGAGCATCGACATTGTGCTTGACACATTTTACAATTGGAAGAAGGTCTATGGTGACTACTGTGATGAAAGCTACTTATTGGCTGTTGCATACAATGTAACAGAAGGGGACTACTGTTATAACATGGATGCTTTGAAATCATATGATGAACCTGCTTATGAAAATTTGCTTAAAACAGAACGAAAGGCGTGGTGTAGAGCCTTTTTCAATTATCATTCTAGTTAAGGAGGCTAGAAAGATGCCAGTCATAAACATGCTCGAAGAAGTTAGAAGAATTACCATGAAGCGTATCTGTAAGCTGGCTGAGAAGACAACGATGTAAGAAAAGGTTCCCGCCAAATGTGATGGAAATATTAGAAGACAATCGCAAGTCATCCAAGTTCTGTTCAGTCCTCAAAGTGGTGAGACTAAGTATGAAATGTTAGAAGGCAGTGGTAGGTTCTCTGTGAATATCTCGACTCGAGAGTATGCTTGCAACCAGTGACAGATCACAGGCATACCTTGTCCACATGCTCACAAGAAATTTGTTTCAAGAAGATTGTCTTTTGAAGTTATCAATGTTTCATTAATAAGAATTTTCAAATTTCAAGGTAAATAACTAAATACTACTCCGTGAATTACTAAATTTCACGGGTTTCAAATTTTTAAAAACCCGTGAATCACAATAAATAATACAGTTATCATCAAATTTTAGATATTTTCTTAATATGTGTGCAAACTTAGAAAAATTATCTTTAAGGAACAAAAGGAGTATTACAAATTAATATATTAAACAATCAAAATTACATAAATAATTTAATTTGATTTTTAAGTAAATATATGTAAAATAATTATAGCAGACGACATATTAAATGTAGAGATTTTTAGATGAGGGATTAAATAAAAAAATATTAAAATCATGTGATGAGTAACATATTGAAATTTTAAAATATACAAACTATACAAAATTTTTATATAAAAAAAAATCCAACTCATGTTGTTGCAGGGATAATGATCTAGTAATAAAAGTTTTGTAAAGAATCTTTAAATTATAACATGAATCTGTCAATTTAGTTTTTTTCTTTGTTTTTCTCATCCGGCTTTACTCGATTACCAATATTAGTCAGTCAAAGTGTACATGAATCTATTGATTTGGACTTATGTATTTCTAGTGAACTTTGGTCAAAACTTAGTTTACTCTCATGATTTTTGTTTTTAATAATTCAAGTCAGTTTCAAGATTTGGTCTTCTATAGTTAATGTTTCTTTTTATAATTTAAGGCCATTCCATTTCAATATTAATTATTGACTAAAGACCATGCCATTTCAAAGTATATATATATATGTATCCATTATAGTAATCTCTCTCATAAGTTTTAGGTTTCAAAATTGAACAAACACCATTATCTTCAAATTCTGTCTGAAACAATGGAGAAAGTATCAATCAAGTTTGATTTCCTTATCTTTTTAGCTGTTATATCTGGTAAATTTTCACATTTTTCTTATTTTCTTTTAAATATTTTTACATATGCAAGTGTTGATTTATAACATATTGTATGTTATGGTTTTGTAGTGATGATGAGTATTGTAACAATTCAAAACGTTGAGGCAAAACGTTTATTACCTGAAGAAATTCCTGAAACGATGTTGCATCATGATGAAGCTTCAACTCAAGTTATTACACCACAAAGTTTACGATGCAGAGAAGGTTGTACCGTGAAATGTGTTCACAATCAATTTATATTTCAATGCTATTGTTTATGCTAAACTTTTTGTACTATCATCTTGTATAATCAAATAAGCAGTTTTCACAAATTAATAAAGATGATAAAAGGATACTACAACTCTTATTAATCATAGATGAACACAATTATAGTGTAGTTAACCGATGTTAACGTTGACTATGATGCGGTCAACACAAAGTTTTTAGATTTTTCATCTAATAATTGTATTATTTTTTTGTGATTTACAGTTTTTTAAAAAATTCTAAACCAATAGTATTTAGTTATTTATCTTGAAATTTGTAAATCTTAATTAATAATGCATTGATAACTTAAAACAATAATCTTTTTTTGGTCAATTTCATATTAAAAGACCAACTCAAATGAGCCAATCTACCGGAAAAACGTTTATAAATTTAATAACATGCGAACTAACACGAGCTTTTCGTGCCAAATAGTCGTCTTTAACATTAGCACTTCTTGAAACTAGAGACAAAGAGAAATAAGAGAATTCTTCCCTGTCCACTTAAAACAATAATCTTTTCGAAACAAAAAAAAATATTCCTAAACAAATCATCTTTTAAGAATGGGGAAACGGTTTTTTAAGAAGGAAAAAAAAAAAAACAAAAAAAAAGGATCAAACTCTCTCTACAAACGACGATGGTGGCGGCGCCTCTAGGGTTCGCCCGGCAATGAGGGGGGAAATCAGACGGTTATTGATCGGGATTTTGTGCGGTCTGTTTGCGGTGGTTCGATTGAATTGGTTGGGGATATGCCTGCGGTTATGGCAGGGGAAAGGAGATTTCGGATCCCGGGATTTACGACTACGTTTTTGGCATCGAGGGTTGAGGATGAGATACTCTGGGTTGATTAAGGCAAGGATACGATATTACAGCTTTCATTGGAGGATGCGGGTCTGGGATTTGGATACAACGGGGATACGATTTCAAGGGATTTCGATTACGATCATATGGGCGCATAAGGAAGATTTGGGGTTGATTCGAGATCTCAATAAGGAAGCTAAAATTGAATGGGATTCGGGAAATCAAGGGCATACAAGGCAAGCAGATGGGGTTAAATTGCGACTTCGACAGAGAGAGCTTTCACATTCTTCTCTCGGGCACTGTTATTTGCTTTTACTCTCTCGGATTATTATTCTTCTTGTTTTTCATTTGGCAACTGGAGCGATGTCGCAAGCTTCTATGGTGAAACACGGTGATTCGGGGAAGAAGGGGGTGGAAACGGTTCCAAAACGGCGAGTCAAGGTTCCGGCGTTTGACAACAAGGCATTGATTGAGGGTTACTCCAAAACGGTAATTGGGAGATGCTTCAATCCTAGGAAACAGGACATGAAGACTCTCCTTTTCATGTTTCCTCGGATATGGCAGATGGAGAATCGGGTGGTGGGAGCTGATCTCGGATTGGGTAAATTCCAATTCGATTTTGAGAATGAAGAAGACATCACTAGGGTTCTGACGATGGAGCCGTTTCATTTCGATCACTGGATGGTGGCGATGGTGCGATGGGAGCCGTCGGTGGATCCGGAGTATCCAT